TTATTTGTATTTTTACTTGCTTGCTGTTCGTTTGCTTGTCTGTTTATTTGCTTATTTGCTTGCTTGCTTGGTGTTTTTTTTTGTTTATTTGATTTTTTGCTTGTATATTTGCATGTTTTCTTGTTTGTTTGTTTGTCTATTAATGTATACTTTTTACTTGCTTGCTGTTTGTTTGTTTGTTTATTTATTTGCTTGTTTGCTTGCTTGGTGTTTGTTTGTTTGATTATTTGCTTGTCTATTTGCTTGTTTGCTTGCTTGCTTGTTTGTTTGTTTGTTAATTTGTATTGTTTACTTGCTTGCTCTCCGGGCTGCTGACCACCGCCAAACGCTCACTTTCCCTGTTTGTATGGTTGTCTGTCTGTATGCTTACTTCTTTGTTTGTTTGTTTACTTACTTGCATGTTTGCTTGTTTGCCTCTGCTTGTTAGTTTATTTGCTTGGTGTTCGTTTGCCTGCTTGCTTTTTTGTTTGTTTGCCTGCTTGTTTATTTAATCGTTTCTTTGTTTGTTTGTGTGCGGCTCATCACCCTCTTTATACTTGAGTATTAATTAAGTACAAGTAAGTTCTACTCAATTTATTGCCGGCGTTCCTTTTATTTAATGTATTCCCTATTGGTTTTAGTTTGATGAATTCTCTAATTTTACGTTTAGCCGCAGACATATCATAATCGGCAAATGGAACAGTTTGACGCCATTCAATTTCATGTCCAGTTTCTGCCTTGAGCTCGGCTAGTTCTGCTTTTGTGCCCAGCCACATTTAGTCGGTTGGGAAGACTAGTCTTTCCGACATAAAACCTACCTCGTGAATATATTAAGAAGAAGTGGGTTTCGAAATTTAACGTCATGTTACAATACAGTATCTCATAGCAACCCGATCTGGATGATGGATCAACTCTCTCTCTTAAAGTAAACATAACCGAAAAAAACCGTTTTTATTGCCTACTTCTTTACTACTCGCCTATTCTTTTACCTTTTCACCACTCGAAAGTTATACTTTATCAATCTGGGGGACAACTATTGTCAAGAAGTATTAGTCTGAGCCGATCCAGTTCATTATCGCAATGGTCTCCCACTTACTCTGCCCACTAAAACATCCAAAAAAGGTAAATTATTTTCTTTTTTTATCCCCATTATTAACTTACAATCAAGCTATCTAAATTATCCTTTTCATGTGTCAATCCTACGTCTAACATGAAGCCAGCCTCCATCCTCGACATGTAATTATTCGCTAAAATGGGAGACAAACAAGATCCCATTGTCAGACCTTTCACCTGCTCATAAAGATTCATATAACTTATGGTTAGATTGAGTAGTCCTACGATTGGGTCATTGCTTAGATTTGCTCCCTCAATCATTTCTGGGTGTTCCTTCAGGCTGAGTGCCAGTGCTGCAATGGCCTTATGAACTGTGATGTTGGTATGCATTGCTGCCACATCGAAGTGCACTCAAAGGTCCTGTTGATCTATCAATTCAACCAATTTACATAAATTCCTCAGGGAACATTTCCAGAAATGCGTCACTTGCCTCAATTGTCTGCGCACAAATCGTGAAATCCCATGCCTCATTGCTCCATTGTTGGCAGCAATCACTCATAATTCGCGTTGTCATGAGCTCTAGCTCAAAGCGTCTGCAGCAACCGGACTTTGGTGACACAAAAACGCACGGACGGACTCACATTTGCTGCCGACCAATGAAGCGGCTATTCGAGCGAAAAGGGCATGTACCGACATTGTGCTAAGCGTGACTCGTGTCTCTTCTCCGCGCCCTCTTTCATCCCAACAACGCACAGGGCGACCCCGGTCCGAAGGGGGCACTCGGTCTGCCCGGCGAGCCGGGCATGGCCGGCAAGATGGGCAACTTCGGCTCGGTCGGGCTGAAAGGGGAGCAGGGCGGCGACGGTCTGTCCGGCGAGCCCGGGCCCCCGGGGCCGCTGGGCCCGGCCGGGAGTCCGGGCAGTCCCGGTCCGCCGGGCGTGTCCGGCGAGGCGGGGCCGCGAGGCGACACCGGCGACCGAGGCCTGCAGGGCGCGAGGGGACTCCGCGGCGCCAGAGGCGAGGCCGGCTCGTCCGGGGCTCAGGGTCAGGACGGCGCGAAAGGACCGTTCGGCGAGCAGGTGAGCATTCGTCCAGTCTCACAATTCGCTTGTCTCCTCATCCCAAATGCTCGCTTATTTATTGCTTTTATATTCATCACACTACTTTCACTTTTTAAGTAATATGCACATGATGTATTATTGGATGGGTTGTTTAGGTGATAAAAATATGTTTGCCACAACCGTAAACTTCGGTACATTAGTGTTGAGCCTGTTTCCATTTCGAGTGAAAGTGTACGCTGAGGAGATTCAAGGCTCGTTTCGACCGGAAGGCGACGGCGCATTCCTCTTGACCTGCAGTCGATTGGCTCTACTGGAACATTCTTGTTGACGCTGTTTCCGAGGTGATCTCCTTGGATTTTGTCCGTCATATGACGAACATCATCGGAGCAGGAAGAGTAGCATTCTTGCAACCATAGTAAAGCTAACGAGTCATTAAAAATTCACCGCCTCATCCATAAAAAGTTAATTGCATAGTGGAAAAGAGATTTTCATCACGTAAATCAAGTCCCTATAATCTGGT